ATGCTCCAGGGCAAAACCAAGAAATCTTCAGTCTGTGTGCTGGATTCAGATGGAGGAATCTTCTCCAATCATGACCTCATGTAGGGGGCTGTTTAACATCTAGTCTGGGAAGCTGATGGATGAAATTGAGAGGTCTTCCACATGATATACTGATTTACCTTTTCTTTTTCCTTTTTTGTTCCTTTGTGGCAGAAGATCACAGAACTCTCTCATTCTCTTAACCATCTTGTGCTAAAGTGCTTCAGTTATTTATCACTACATTTGCAGCCAGAAGATATGGGATGCCACCAACCACACACTTGCCTTTGAAACCAACAAAACTCATAGAGACATACATCAACGTAGTCAATCTATGAGCTTTCTTGGCTGTTGCTACAGCACTAAAGCTTGGGAAACCTCGTAACATTAAACTTGCCACTCCAATATAAACCACTACAAGAAATAAATTCTTGTTTCAGCAGAGTCAAAAAAAGGTGCAAGAACTTATGGATTAAAAATGGCAAAAACAAGATATGAGAGACATTGGGGAAATTTTTGATAAGACCAATGCACAACCCAGTGCTAAGCAGCACCAAATGCTGCATCTGAGGCCCCTCTGTTGCACCTGTCAGCCTGGTAGGCTGCTGATGGAATTGAGAAACACTTTGTAACCTAGAAAACTATTGCACAGAGGCTTACTTCTGGGTAGATACACAATATATGGAGGTAGAGATGTCCAAAGTAGGAATCCCTATGCATGGCTATGCTCATGTCTCTTTAGACCCTTCCATATCCATAGCACCACCCAGTGTTGGAATGTAGTATCTAAGGTTAAAAGGTTCCCCATCCCTGTTATAGTGCAAATGATAGAGTTTTCTGTCATCACAGCTATAACCTGATCCTGTAAAACTTGTCCTATTGGTTTCAATGAGCTCTGTACTCTTAGCCTCAGAGTTAAGACTTGCAAGCAGAAAAGAATCCAACTTTACACTCCAGAACATTCCTTTCACCATGGTGATATAGCATAGATTTAAATTTAATTTAGCAATCAACTGATTTTCAAAAACCCTGTCTACTGAAACAAGGATGAAACGTAACTCGCCGGTTTCTTAAGTGTCTGAGCATAGGAAGCTTTTTTTTAAAAAAACATGGGTTATAGCTTAGGGAGAGAGCTCATATTTTAGTCTCTACACTTTACCCAGAATTAATTTGTGAAACACTCGTGTATATATGGGAAATTGTGTGGGGAGTTTTCACATTTTTACTGTCATCTTTTTATTCACCCAGGCAAACAATCAAGTGGATGATCAAGTATGTGACATTTGAGTGCACAATAATCAGCTGGCAAAAACAGGCAAACTGTTTACACAGTTGTTGGTTTATCTTACATGATTCTAGCAGAATGCTACCTCATGGAGTTAAATCTTACATAGCTTTGTTGTGTAAAAGCCTCTGCTTGAAGCCAGAAGCAGGATAGTCCATTATAAAGAGGACTGGGATAAGATGTAATACAAGTCAGGCTGGATGAATTTTTACAAGACTAGAAGACTGCTTTTTTTTGTACCAGTACACCTTATGTCATTCAGGCATTGATATGAAAAGCAGAAATTGAGGTAAACTCAGAAAAATGAGGGAAATTATATTCTGTGGGAATACACTACATAATATTACAGAACTACTACAGCAATTTTCATTGTACTGTAATCTGAAAATATTAGATTAAATGAATTTTTACAAACACTATAGCTCTCTATGCAGAATCTGAATGAATTAAAACAACAAGATGAAGAGTTCATATGAGTTAATTCAATATAAACAAATGTTTCAGATTTTCTTTCTGGTCTTCACACAACTTCTGGAATGCTGAGGCCATGCACTGTACATATTTATCACATCTATTTTTAAACTGGCCAGAAGATGAACTTTTAAAAAAGCCACTGGGGCAAAGGATTACAAAAGGAAACCAAGTCTCCTGGGGACAGAATGGAATACTTTCCATACAATCACAGAGGTGGTATCTCCAAAACAAAATTATATTGCAAAGTAAAGTAGACATTATGTTCAGTTTTTTTTTAAAAGAAGGGTTTAAACAAGAGCATGTGTTTCTCTTCATTGTCACAGTCCCCAACATACACAACATGTGAAATTTAACACAATCCTTTGCTTTACATGTGTTTTCAAAACATTATTGTCAAAAACAGCAACATAGCAGTCACACTCCTAAAGACCTTTAAATAAAGAGGTGGATTCTGCTTGCTTTTTAGGTGTTTGGGAAACAAAATCTAAAGTGAAAGGCTTTGAGAAAACCTTTTACTATAGAATAAAGAAACAATAAAGGTAGAACTGTTCTGTTACAACAGAATTATCCTGAAAAGACCAACATGACTTCAAAGAGTTTCATATCATTTAAATAAGCAAATCTTTTGGCAAAATTAGCATTAGAAGAGAGCCATTTCAAATGTTTCTATCTGAAGAGTGGAAGCTGCTTTAGATGCAGTTTCTCTTGCATTAAAAAAAACTTTAGAAACACACAAGATTAGGATATTTCTGTACAAAATTATGATGCACTATTTGAGATTACTCGGGACAGCAATGTTGTGTTATGTGCTAGTGATACATTTGAAACTATAAATTAAAGCATTGACCAGCAGCTCAAGTCATGTAGTAGATCTAGTTTTTTGCTGAACCAGAAGCAAAAATTTAGATATCTAAATGAATGCATAACCAAGCTATTAATCTGAATCCATAGAACAAAACTGAAGAGTCATTAAAAATACCACAACAATTTTAATGGAAAAATGTATTTGTGTTTTGGTCCAACATTATTTAGTACAAAAGAACATTAATTTTATAGAACAGAAAATCTCTCTTTTCTGACTAAAAACTCATGCATGTTCTTTGAGGTTCCAAATGTGCTCAAGGCACAGATGTGGAAAGTTCTCAGGTATATTTTAAGTAACTACAAAAAATGTAGTATTTATCATTTTATACTTTATTCTTTTCATAGTTTTTTAAACAGTGAATATTGTATAACTTTTCACTCAAGAAAAACCTTTAAAACATTTATTTCTAAATCCCTTGGGTCTTAAGCCTCTAAATCTGACATTTGTTTAGGAATGACTAGGTCTTTCTGTTCTTTAGTCCTGATTTTATGTAGGCTGATGACAAGAACATACAGAATCCGATACTATACACACAATTTAGAGTAATAGTAAAGGGCATTTTCTCTTAAGTTATCAATACAGATCATGATTGCAGTAATTCCCCAAGCAATTATAAAAAGGCCACAGAATAATTTAGAACAAAAGATGAAATCTGGAAATTCCATGTGCATATTCCCACATACACAACTATGGGAACTATGAAATCACAGAGATCAGAAGAAAATCCACAGAATAGTAGTAGTCACTTATGGAATGAAGTTGGCAAAGGCTAAAATCCTGTTGATATAACTTACACTGTGTAAGGCAGATGATGCTATCAGAAGGGGCAATTTTTCAGAAACCAAACATTTATCATTTCTGTCCCAAAGTTCTCAGGCTCCTGTGCAATCCCTTTCATAATTAGAAAACTTTTAGAGCCATAGGATGGAAGGGGAAATTAGTAACTGAAAACTGATGGCACCCTTGCAGTCATCTTGATGGTGATAATTTTTGATAATTAAAGACTTCCAGTCCTGTGGATCTGACAGCTTTTCAGTAGTGCAAAGGATTATACGAGAGGCTAGGGAGCTTCAGAACAGAAGTAGGAAATATTAAATTTCTGAAAAACTGGTACTATAAAGAATGTTGTCAGCCTTATGTGGAGTATGTTATGCCAACAGGATTTCAATCAATATTGATAGAGGCTTTCCACAGCTAATACAGTTTCCTGAGAAATCTGCTCAAATGCTCTTGGAGCCATGAAAAAGAAACAGAAACTATGCTTGACTAGACAGCCTTCAATCTGTTTCCGTACATCCTAAAAACAGTTCAAAATCAGTTTTTTTTCTTAAGTTTCGAAAGCAGACTCAAGCATCTCTGCCCTCAGCTGGCCAACAATTTTGTTGCACACATAGATGGAAGTGGGGAGATTAGGCAAGAGATTACAAGGCAATCAACAGCTCACAGTAAATACAGTGGTGCCTCGCATAACGATGTTAATTGGTTCCATTAAAAACATCATTATGTGAAAACATTGTTAAGCGAAACACCATTTCCCATAGGAATGCATTGAAAACCAGTTAATCCATTCCAATAGGAGCCTATTCAATACATTTCAATGGTGAAAAAAAATCACCAAAAATTCAAAAAGACTCAGAACGAACCCAAATTACTTTAATGAAGGTTTTATTAGGTGCACTAACGATTCCAAGCATTCTAAACATTTTTAAACATTGTAGAATATTTGTAAAAGAGCGAAAACAGGGCTGTCAAAAAAAAACGTTAAGCGAAACAGGGGACCTAAAACTGTCATCATTAAGTGAAGCAAGGTCCCAAACATCGTTATGCGAAAATCCCCCATAGGAAACATCGTTAGGTGAGGCGGCAAAATTTCCAGCAAAGGCCATCGTTATGCGAATTCATCGTTGAGCGAGGCACTCGTTAAGCGAGGCACCACTGTACTTCCATGAGCCCCAAAAGGTGCTTGGAATGGAGTAATATAGGCATGAACAATGTAAGATAGAATCAAAAATTTGATTGTTAGAGAAGAAATATGTTTTACTTTAAAACAAGTGTAAAGACTTCTACGGAACAAAATAATAGAAGATCTGTGTGACTTGTGGCTAAGTGCAGCTCATCAATGAGATGCCAGTCATAAGACTGAGATCATAATTAGGCACACAACCAACACACACCCAGCACTTAGTTAATTAGCTCAATTAGCTAGAGCAACTTACTCCATCCCTCTGAGAACACTATTGGGATTCTTCCAAATTTATCTAAAGAAAAGGATATTCCATGGATATTTTTGACAATAGTACTATACATTGTTCCAAAAGTAACTATTTGCAACTGTAGAAGTGCTTTGTTTTTACTTACTTTCTTAATAAGATCTGGCATTTTTGATTTATCTGGAGGGTGATCAGATGAAAAACAACTTTCTATTTCTAAAGTATTCCCATCACTGATGGCATCATTTTTCAAGGATCTGAGGAAAAAGTAAAACAAAAAACAAAGCTCAACAGCAGACAGGACCCCAAAACTGAAGTTCTATGCAAGGCTAATGAAAGGTCAAACTAGCTTTTAAAGAAAATGAGTATTCTTTGCCATTAATACTTTTCACCTCCAATCACACACTTTCTTCAGAGGTATGTTTCTCAGCAAGTGGACCTGCAAAATAAACTGGTGTTTATTTTCCAATGACCCATCACAAAGCAAATCACTACTAAATGCCAGATAAGGGATAAAAAGTATATGTTACAACAAACAGGTGCCTTTCACCACTTGAGGAAAAGCTATTTCTAAGTATGTACAGCACTAAGTGTATTTTCTAACGATGGGAGTTCAAATTTCTTGGCCTACAAATTCCATAATTCCTCATTCTGGATACGTCAGGTATAATTCCCATTCTGCGAATTATACCTGACGTATCCAGAATGGGGAATTATGGTATTTGTAATTTTTTAAAAATCCCTAAATCCCATCCCTACTATTGCCTAGTTTGACATTCAAGGGTAATTCTTGCTTCTAGGCTAGCAATGACATGACGTTAGGATTTCCAGAAGGACATAAAGACATTTTGAAATGGAATTTTTAATTTGAACTTTTAAAAATCCCATATGCATGCAGTACTGTATATTTTAGAACACAAATTATACACATTCAGTGTTCATGTTTAAACTAATTCAAATTATTTTTCCATATGCTAACTCAATCTGTCCTCATACAATGTTATCAAATTAACCACTTTTTCATATGTAAGCAACAAGATCTTTGTAAAAGGCATCTTTAATAAAACACACTCCTGTTTTCACATACTGCTTAAAGCCAACCCTACCACACCAGTCCTACAGTGTTGTTTCTGTTTTCACACATTCAAAAATCACATTTCTTGGTTAACAAGCCATTAAAAAGAAAAGAAAAAACACAGAAAGAACAACTTGTATGGTTTTTAGTAAATTGCAAAGCGTTCATTGCACTGCTTGAGCCAAAACATAATAATATTAGGTAAACAGCAGGGAGAACTAAAAACAATAGCTTTGAGTTTTCCAAATCTATCAGTACCAGCTGTCAGGCATTAATATTCCTGCACATCACAGATGAAGGTGGCTTTAGGTGTTCCCTGAGCTTCTAACACATTCAGAGCTATGAGATTAAGGAGCTGAAGAGTGAAAATAACTGTTAAGGCAACTCAAGATTGCAGTGTTTCCTGTGAGACATTACACCAAAACTCAGAAAAGTTACTATTCTGGAAGTGTTCATCCAGAAAAAGTAGAGAAAGTAGGGTTTCCAAGCTCTGAAGTGCAGTTTACCAAAATAAGTATTACATTTTTGTTGTACCCTACATGTCCCTTCACCTTTACTCTTATCTTATTAAAAAAAAATTGAGATTGCAAACAGTGCAAAATAATTTATGGTCTCTGTTGACGTTAACTGGCACGTGCATGTTCTTTTCCAGTTTTCAAGGGATCCCTTAATTTCAAGGGGATCCCCTGAAAACTGAGAGGAAAAAAAACATGGATGATAATTTATTCTATTTTCTTGCCCATTACCTGTGCAATGAAAAGACATCTTCAAAGTCTCCCAATATTTGAAAGCCCAGAACACCCTGATCACAACCATGCCTACTCACTGCCCCTTAGGAGGAAATGGGCACTGAGGATTTCAATTAAGAAACACAGGATGTAGAAACTGGCCTGGTCACACATTAAGATAGCTGGAATACTCTCTAGGTCATGCATCATTCGCCAACCTCTGTTTTAAAAGCCATAGTGAAGTATAGTTCATCACGTTTCAAAGTAGTTCATTCTATTACAGATTTCATGCATGGAAGGAGCCCTGTAATGTTTAGTGGAAACCCCGTTTTCTTATAAATTAAACCTGTTGGTTTGGATCCTCAATCTTCTGAAACAACAGAATATAATCAAGTCCCCACTCGGATACAGTGGGGTCTTGACTTAAGAACGACTTGAGTTAAGAACATTTTGACTTAAGAACCACTCTCATAGGAAAATATTGACTTGACTTACATACTTAGATTTGAGTTAAGAACTAAAAAAAACCACGTGGGAGGCAGGGAAAGTGCAAAATTTGAACTTTCAGTTAACTGTTGGCCAGTGAAAAGGGTGCCTGTCTGCTTCCTCACTCCTCCCAGCATTTAGAGAGTGGATTGGGAGACAGTCTTCAGACTGCCTGGTACTGCCTGGACTGTATTTTCCCTGCCTTCCCTGAACCTTTCTTGACCTAAGAAAAAAAGAAACAAAATATCCCCCTCTAGTGGTCGAAGGCAGAATAGCAGCTTCCCATTAGTTTTTATGGACGGAAAAGAGCAGATACGGATCAAATGGTTTTCAATGCATTCCTATGGGAAATGCAGATTTGACCTGAGAACTTTTTGACTGGAGAACCGCCTTCCAATACAGATTAAGTTCTCAAGTCAAGACCCCACTGTATGGTAATCCGTTGAACAGGCATTTTAACTATTAATATTGAAATGACTGTTTACTATTCTTCCAACTTGCGGCAATCCTTTCCAGGGTTTTCTAGATACAGAATACTCAGATATGGTTTGCCATTCCCTTCTTCTGTTGGCAGTCTAGGACCATGTCACTTGGCCAAGACCCCACAGACTACCTCAGTGCTCAAAGGCACAGTGGAGAACTGAAATCTCAACCCCCAGATCTTCCAACAAACGTATTCAGCTTTTTAATCTCCCCAGTATGGTGTGATAAATAAGAAACTGGTTTTGAAACACAAAGGGGCAATTTCACAAAATATGATAAATACTACCATTTTCCCGAAGATATGACCTAACCTGAAAATAAGTCCTAGTATGATTTTTCAGGATGCTCGTAATATAAGCCCTGCCCCCAAAATAAGTCCCACTTAAGTGAAACCCTGCCCTCCACCATTCTGCAGCAACCAGAAGATGATGACATGACTGTATTTGAATAAATGTAGATAGTTGTACATGAAAAAATAAAACATCCCCTGAAAATAAGCTCTAATGCATTTCTTGGAGCAAAAATTAATAAAAGACTCTGTGTTATTTTGGGGGTACAGTAATTGAAAAAAGGGGAGGAATAGTATTGAGCTGAATGTCTATCTTGCTCCTCCCAAACCACACACATATATTAATATTACTGGACACACTACAGCTGTACATGCATAATGCAGGAATTCCACCAGGCCTATTCCATGTATTGGATGGAGATTCTCTTTCACTTCTTCCCCTGCTACTTTACTTTAGCCATTAACTGTAATCTTCCTTATTTCAACTTTTTCCCAATGTGCAAAATACCTTAGAAGAAGCAGCCTCACTCCTAACATGAAGACTGATTTCTTCCCCCGCCATACCCTAATTATCGTGAATATCAGAGAACCTGAAACAATTTTAGATCATATTTCCAGTTTTCCACACTTTTAGCAAAAATAAACATGCAATATGTTTAGATGCCACAAAAAAGAAGGGAAGGTTAAGAGAAGCATGTCAAAAATACATTTACTATAGGATCACTGAAAACATTCAGCTAAAGGCAAATACATGTGTGCTTAGTATGTAATTAAATTCTGTATTGCATGAATAAAACACGTAATATAGAATGTGAATAAAAATGTTTTTCAAAACTACTAAGAACTTCAAAAAGATATGTCTACACGGAGTATCAAATATATTCTGGAGTTTATTAGCCAGATTAACTTCACTACAAAGCTTTTTTATATGAAGGGAAATACTAAGACCACAGTCTATTTAAATAAAACTGTACAACAGTTTCATGCTTTAAAAATGAAGTACCACTTTGCATTGTGACGTGAATAATGGCTTCCGATACTACAGAACACAGAGGAAACAGGAAGCAGAAGTTTAACGTATTCTTCTGCACAGCACTAAAAATAAAAAGGTTGTACTGTATCTGCCCACCAAGATGAAATGTGCAAGTTCTAGTTCAGAAGATACACAGAAGTGCAGAGCACAGGAAGCGCAAGGCATTTGCACTTCTTGTTTCTCATCATGTTCCACATAACTGCAGCTGCTCTTTGTTTTAAACTGAATTGTGATTTTATACTACCAATGTATTTTGTTGCTTTATTCCTATTTTATTTGTTATAATCTAGGTAAACTACTCTAAGACATTAAGTTACAGGAGTTACAGGAGTGCTCTATCAGCTGTATAGAAACAGAAAAAAGCAGCAGACGTGAGGTATAAATACTGATGTCTGTGAACTGTTTGATTACTCCAGTGCTACCAGTTCACTGCTGATGTAAGGACAACTTACGTATCTTATATGGATGTATATTTACTTCACAATCTGTCTACAATTTCAAAAGTTTAGCTTAACATAAGCTTAACAAAACACTATTAATCAATTTTTCCTAAGGCATTAAGAACCAGTTGCATTTGATTGATAAGGTTTCAGTTACATATAGCCTACAATTGTTTCTAAGTAAGTCTGCTTTGGAAGAACAGTCACAGACATGTTTACAAGGACCTTGAGTTCTGATCAAACCAACAGAAGTACCCTGCAAATTATACTAGCACCTTATTCATTTCCAGGCTAGATATAAAACCCAGATTTGACTTTTAAAGCCCTCAACAATTCGAGGTTACATTACTTGCAGGACAACTTGAACCAAAATGAACCTGACCAAGTCCCATCATCAGCCAATATTTTCTGCCTCCTGGCTATTACCAACAGCTATCAAGGTTGATGGCAATCAGAGACTGCATAGACATCACAATTACACCGAATCGGCAAGTACAGAATGGGAATTCTTTTTCCCATCATGGGCATATGAGCTGTACAAACAATTAGAGGGCCCATATTCTTGGCCAGGATTCAACAATGTCTTTCCAATGGATTCTTCTTCTGCTACCCAATCCCCCTCCCTTCTGCAGCACTCAATGACCAATAAAACCATACTTTCAAGGTTGAGAGGGAGCTGGTTTGTTATTTATACCAATAATTACATTTGTTATTGCTTTGCTT